TCTCTCTCTCTCTCTCTCCTTGTTTTCTTGCCAACTTTTGAAAGTATCTTCTTACTCAATTTATTTCTTTTCTTGCTCGATTTTTCCACCTCTCATCCTCACGATTTTCAGTTTTCAAATCTCACACGAGTCTCTTCCTTTTATCACCATTGTTCTTCATTTTCTTATAAGTAAAAGAAGATAATTAAATACATACCATTAAATATAGTAAGACAATATCTATATTAATTAAGCAAAAATAATAAAATAATACATATGAAATCTCCTGATGGATGTGTTGGATATCTAGTGTGAAATTACACAGGAATCCTACGAACTGATATGTATTTTCAGTTCTTACAAATAATCTAAAAATAGAAAATTACAATTGAACTGAATAATAAATTACAACTGAAAAACGGAAAGATTTTAGCCGAGGCGAGTAAAACTCTTTCCGCAAGAAGAATACGCCCCGTGTGGCAGCTAACGGTTCAGGCGTAACTTCCCCAAAGATACAACGACAAACATCTCTAAATCTGTAGCACACCCGATTTACGAGCTCCGGCGAACGGGAACAGAATCGAGAATTGAGCACTTAGTAATAAAAGGAATATCTTGAAACAAATAAAAATATCACTTGGTTCTTCTCTTTTGATATTTTTATATCCGATATTGGACATATATATTTCTTTACTTTCTCTCTTGAATTATTTCTTCTCTTTTCTGTCTTATTTTCGGTGCCCATTACACATTGACCGAATGCTAATTTATAGAGAAAGGATAGGAAACAAAGCCTGACCAATTAATAATAAGGCCATCACATGATTACAGCTCAATCTCCATTATTAGTACTGCCAATTATTCACTTAATTATTATCAATTATTGATACAAAATAATTACAAATTGGCCCAATTTACACTCAATTCCAACAATCCCCCACATGAGTGTAAATTAAATGTACTAAGTGCTCAATCCTCACAAAACTCTATTGCATCAGAGAAGGAAGAGTTTTTGGCATTGAACCTTTCTTAGTAAACATCATCGGATGCACTGGCGGCCTAGTGGACATAATGCCTTGAACTATTCCTCCATAGTGTACACCAAGACAATGACATTCACACAATAGAGTCTTAACTCCGTTCCGTTCTATCGTTGTGTCCGTTTTGGCCATGAACAATACAATGGATTCATAAGTGTTTACATTTGAAGCGGCCCACACTTCACACTTATATAGGTGACCTCCCTATCAAGAGTATCCTGTCTTACTCCACCTTTACAAGGTTAGGGATTCATTAAAAGTCCATATGACTTACCCTCACCACAATCAACAGGTAATCTTGCACTTGGAGGCTCTAGGGAATAACTTTGGACATTCATATGTTCCAAGTGCTCAACTGAATTTTCATAGCTTAGTTTTCCCTTTGAACCAAGTTCGTGGGATCTCCACTCAACATGGTAGGATTACCACTATGATCATTCTTTACATTGTGGATTTTTAAGCCCATTCCCTCTAGCAAAACTGTCAATTGGTCTCTATTCAATCCTTTCGTCAAAGGATCAGCCAAATTTTCCTTAGACTTCACATAGTCAATGGAAATAACACCATTTGTGATCAATTGACGTACGGTATTATGTCTACGAGGAATATGTCTAGACTTACCGTTATACAAGTTACTTTGTGCCCTACCAATAGCAGCTTGGCTATCACAGTGAATCATCACAGGCGGCAAAGTCTTATCCCAACATGGAATATCGGATAAAAAATTTCTAAGCCACTCAGCTTCTTCACCAGCTTTATCTAAAGCGATGAACTCTGATTCCATCGTTGACCGAGCTATACACATTTGTTTTGTGGATTTCCACGAAACTGCACCTCCTCCAATACAGAAAACATATCCGCTAGTGGAGCGAGAATCTCTCGAATCTGATATCCAGCTTGCATCACAGTACCCTTCAAGTACGGCTAGGTATCTTGAGTATTTTAACCCGTATTCAAGG